AGAGGGAGGAATATAATACACACACACAGTGGTGTGTAGAAATGTAACTTACCCATTGGGGAAATAAAAGAGGAAGGGGTGATAAAATGGATTAATAGAGGCAGTGGTCAGAAGCAAAATGGACTTTTGAGGAGTACAGGATGAAAAAATTAAAGGATAAATGGAAGAAAATAGGATGGAGGGGAATACACAGTAATTACAACTGTAAATATGAATGGGATAAGTTCATCCATAAAACAGAAACAGATAGCAAAATACATTAGAAACCAGAATCCAACAATATGTTGTTTATAAGAGATGCACTTGAAACAGAAAGACATACATGGAGTTAAAATAAAGGGCAGGAGCAGAACCTATTAAGCTTCAGCTGAAGTGAAAAAAGGTAGGGGTAGCAATCAGGACAATCTCATGGCAATCTCAGACAAAGCAAAATAGATCCAATTAAAAGAGAGAATCAGGGAAACTACATTTTACTAAAACATACCATAGATAATGAAGTAATATCAAAACTTTTACAGTAAGTTTGTCTGATAGGGAATTCAGTCAAATTTATAAAAATAAGGGGCATTCCCCAGTTGCTAAATGGTCAAAGGATATGAACAGGCAGTTTTTAGATGAAGTACTCAAAGCTTTCTATAGTGATAGGAAAAAAATGCTCTAAATCACTATTGATTAAAGATATATATAATGTATATATGTATATGCACATATATGTATGTATTAAAACAACCCTGAGGCATCACCTCACCCCATCAGAAATGACAAATGCTGGAGAGGGTGAGGGAAAATAGGTACACTAACTGTTGGTGGAGTTGTTACCTGGTCAAATCATTCTGGAGAACAATTTGGAACTATTCCTAAAAGTCAATAAAACTGTGCATATTCTTTGACTCAGCAATACCACTATTAGGTCTATGCCCCAAAGAGATCAAATAAAAAGGAAAAAGAGCAAATGTACAAAAATATTTATAGCAGCTTTTTTTATGGTGGCAAAGAATTGGAAATTGAGGAGATGATCATCAATTGGGGAATGGCTGAAGAAGTTGTGACATATGATTGTGATGGAGTACTGTTGTGCTATAAGAAATGATGAGGGGGGTGGGTTCAGAAAAAAATATGGCAAGACCTATATGAACTGATGCAAAAAGAAGTGAGACCAGGGGCAGGTAGGTGTTGCAGTGGATAGAGCTCTGGCTTTGGAGTCAGGAGGACCCGAGTTCAAATCCGGCCTCAGACAGGTAACACTTACTAGCTGTGTGACTCTGGGCAAGTCACTTAACCTCATTGCCTCACCCCCAAAAAAATGAAGTGAGAAGAATTGAGAGATCATTGTGCACAGCAACAGCAGTGTTGTAATGATGACCAACCATGAAAGCCTTGGCTACTGTGGTCAGTACAATGATCCAAGACAATTAAAGAGGACTCATGATGAAAAAATGTTATCCATCCCCAGAGAAAGAACTGATGAATTCAAAATGCAGACTGAAGTATAATTTTCTCGCTTTTTTGGGGGTGATATGGCTAATACGGAAATGTGTTTGTATGATTTCACATGTATAATTGATATCACTTTGCTTGACTTCTCAGTGGATGGGAGAGGGGTAGGAGGGAGGGATAGAATTTGGAGCTCAAAATCTAAAAGGTAAAGAATGCTAAAAATAAATAATTTTTTTGAAAGAAAAGATAAAGGCATCATTGAAATGAGGAAAGTAGGGAAAGACTGGGAGATGTGAGGTCATAATGAAGCATTTTCAGTAAGTGAGAGTTGTTGTTTGTCCTTCCTTCTTGAAGAGGACCAAGACATCAGGAAGGTGATGTCATAACTTGTAAGTAAATTGGATTTAAGTGAGAGAGGACTGTGCAAAGTCACCAGCCTCACTTTCTCCTCTGGAGCCATCTGGGTCCAGTGGCAAGATATAGATCAGGATGACTGGAGATGTCCCCTGGGAATGAGAGGGTGTAAAAGTAAAGAAGGTTGTGAATGGAGGTGAACTTGACTTTGGAATGGATCAAACAAGATAAGGCACCATGAAAGGTAGATTTAGGGACTACAACAAGGAAGAGGAGATGGAGTGAATGTGTGAAAGGAAAAAAATCTTTAAATTTTTATTAGTTGTCAGGCTGGGAATTCCACACAATCATCAAGATAAGTCAGTCCCTTCACTTAAGGAGCTTATTCTAATACAGGCAGACAACTCATCTATGAGAGTGGTGCCCAGGGATGGGAGTGTCTGGGGAATCACAGGGTTGATCCTGTTTTGCCGAGTTGATTCTTACAGAAGTCAATTGACAGACTCTTTCCAAGAACAATATAATCGTATTGATTTGATTATTAATGACAGTAAGAGGTGGAAAGCAGAGGAGGAGAGGTATTGCAAGCAGACTTAGAAAAAATGGTAAGATGGCTGGGGTGGACATCAGGGAGGGGATGTGAAACATGGTCTGGGTCTGTGTAGATATAGTAAGTTTAATTGTTTGTCCACTCTAAGCTAGATAAGGAAATAATATGGGCTTCAAAATGGGAGAGGTTGTTTAGTAATGGTTAGAATGATTTGTATACTGGGAATTATAAAATGCTTGTGTGACCTTAGACTACCTCCACTATCTCTCTAAGCCTCAGGTCCACCTTCCATCTGTAAAATTCAAGAGTGGGACATGATCTCCAAGGTCATTTTCTAATTGTAGTGTCTTTTGGTCTATAAGAAATCCCCCCCTACACACAAAGGGAGCATGACCTTCATGATCCAGGGTCATAATTTCCAGGGTGTGGCAGGTCCTAGATTGCCCCTCCCTCTTTTGAAAAATCCCGAAACTGAGGGTCCCTGGGATATTCTGACCTTGTGAAGATGCTGTGACCACTGCATAAGAGATAGATGTTCATCCCGCCAGCCAAGAAGACTACAAACCTGAAAGTCAGTTAGTGGAGACAAATTCTGAACTTGGGACAGAATACCACCACGAGGGGGCAGCGCGCTGCAGGGAATTATCTTTTCTTCAGTTGGCAAGCAAACCTACCAAACTTCCCCAGCTTCTCCAGTTCCTCCCGTACGTATTTCCGTTGCTCTGACGCTCTCCTGAGCCAGGGGGTCGGGCAGGAGAAATCGATTCTTTCCCTCCCCCTATCCATCCCTCTTCTCTTACCCAAAGGGAAATTCGAGTAGGAGTGAAGAGGTGTTGCCCCGGGAGACGGAAGAGGCTTCCAAGACATCTCAATCACTAGAATTGCGTTCCCTTGGACGTGGGAGAGCGCAGAGAGTTTCTCTGGCGATCACTTTCGGCCAGAGGAGGGGCAGTGTGTCCCTGCTGGGCGTTAAAAGGGCAGCAAGAGGGCACAGAGGCTTGAAGGATCTGCAGTTCTGCCGGAGGCCTTGCTCAAGCAGCTGCTCAAAAGGGTCGGGAGCCCCGAGGTCAAGTGCGTAACCGTAAACTGTCTTGGAGATCAGAGTCGCGGTAAATTGCGCAGCTAGTGCGAACTTCAGGAATCTCTCCCTTCCAGTGCTTAGCACCAAGCTTAGCTGGAGCAGCCGTGACTGCTGCAGCAGCATCCCAGGGCATCTCTGTAGCTGTCATTCCTCCGGAGGAGCAGAGGGGAGAGAGAAGGCTTAGGATGCTCGTGGGAGTTAGCGGTCTGGAATTATGCATCCTGTGCTCAAGCCCGAGTCTCTCCTAAAAACAAAACAAACCAACCCCAATCCCAACAGACTCCAGAGATGAAGAGGAGGATTCTGACAACACAGACCAAACTTTATGATCCCTTTCGCTTCAGATCAGCTTGACTGAATCTCTGAGTTCCACGGTAAATATCTCTCTACTTGGGGAGAGAAGATGGTAATAATCACGGTAAATATCTTTCTACTCGGAGTGAGAAGATGGTAATAATCGATGGGAGAAAGAGAGACTATCAGTAGTGAGAAGAGAGACTCAAAGGGTTCCCCCCCCCCCAGCCCTTCCTTTTTCATGACTCCAGAAGGATTATATAAGGTGGATCACGGGCTGCCACCAGCCAGCTAGAGGGAATAACAAATTACTGTATCGAGAGGTGGATTTTTGCCCTTTCCCTTAACCTCCACTCGTCTTGTGTACCCAGCATCCTGCAGTGAAGGTGACTGACTCCCTGCCAGTTTGTTTCAGTCCTAGCTTTAGTGCACTTTGTTTTTTTCCTGGAGGAAAAGGGAGGATCCAGCTAACGCGAGGAGCTCCCGGGAGGGAGGCCACGGGGACCTGCGATCAGGTGGTGGGGAGCCCCATGGAGAAGCCGCGGAGGCGGTACAGTTTGGCAGGGCTGCGGTGGGGAAGCTCTGACAAAGCTCCTGAGACTCCTCTGGTCTTGTAGGTTCAGCTGCTGCTGCCGTTTGCTTTCTCACTTTCCTCGGTCTGAAGACTACAATCTCTGGTTCCCTGGGCCACCACTGAACCTTTGGAGCCCACGAAGTCGAGTCCTGCCCCCGCTTGACTGATTTTACCCTCTGCGCCCCACCCACCCGTGGACACGCGTGGGAGAGACAGGTGTAGCTCATCTTATCCTAATGCCTGCCTGCCCCCTGCGGGGAGGACAGCTGATTTGCTCGGAAGGCCCAGGGACTTGGGGGGGGAGGGGGTCTGGAGATCTAGCTGCAAGGAAGGGTGAGATTTTGGCTTGGAGCTGGGTAGGAATTGGTTCCCCAGAGAGCGCGTAACTCCTGAAGCCCGTCCGAAGGGCTGTTTCTGCGCCACTTTTTCATTGCTGCTCCTATAGCCTTCGGGACCCAGCGCTGGGAAGAGGGGAGGTGGTGACATCACGTCCAGAGATCGAGGGAGGGAGCTGGAAAACTCCCCCTTCCCCATTGCTCTTCATTCCTAGCGTTTCCTGGCTACACCCGCTGTTAATTTGTGGATGAAGTTGGCTGGGACCCCTCTTCCGCGTCTCCCCTGGACGGTGGCTGCCCTGATGCCTCCTGCCAGCGGCAGGCCCACAGTACCGGGGACTTAGGGCTGCTGCGTTCCCTGCAGCCACCACCACCGGACTCCATGCTCCTAGGAGCGTCTTGGTTGTGCGCTTCCAAAGCCGCTGCAGCGCAGAGCGAAGGAGAAGAGGAAAGGCAAGGCGAGAGGAGGAGGAGGCGAGCAGCAGCAGCAGCAGGAGGAGAAGAGATGGACGAGTCCTCCTTGCTGGATTTGCTGGAGTGCTCGGTGTGCTTGGAACGTCTGGACACTACTGCCAAGGTACTCCCGTGCCAACATACCTTCTGCCGCCGCTGTCTAGAAAGTATCGTCTGCTCTCGCCACGAGCTGCGCTGCCCCGAGTGTCGCATCCTGGTGGGCTGTGGGGTGGATGAACTGCCCGCCAACATCCTGCTCGTCAGGTTGCTGGATGGCATCCGCCAGAGACCCCGAGGCAGCGGCGGGGGAGGTGGGAGCAGCAGCTGCAGCAGCAACGGGAATAGCCCCACGGCCAGGGGTCATGGTCCTACCCCAGCTGGAGGGGGTGGAGGAGGTGGAGGTAATGCCCCGGGTTCCCCAGCCTATCACCCAGCCGCCGCCGCAGCCGCTGCCACGATCTCCGGGGGCACCAGCGCCGCCGCCAGTCTTCGAGAGCTGGCAGCAGCCAGCAGGAGCGCCCTCCTGGGAAAGGTGGGTACCTACCGCTACCGAACAACGAAGTGCCTTGGGTTGGTAGGAGTAGAAAAGGGCTCAAGAAATGCGAACAGCGTGTGGCGTGGGCTCCTTCACGTGTTCTCACACTACTCCTTCCCTGCCTCCTGCCACTTTCTCCTCTGGGGTTTGCTTTTCCTGGGAGTTCTCTAAATATTTCTCTATTCCACCCCCCAAGTCTTAACTCCTGGACCATGTCATTTGCAGGCTTCTGAAATTTTTGCACCTGCTTTTTCTGACCTGCTCCCCATTACTCCCTTAGCTCCCTTCTATCCCCAACCACCTGTGCTTAGAAGTATCTCTTCAGGGACACACAGACTAAAACCTTCCCCCTTCTCTCTTGCTCATGTTTCACCTGTCCTCAATGCTCCAGCATCCCACTTTACCGGGTTTATAATTCCCTGCCCGGCTACATTCCTTGAGCATTCCCATCAATTTTGTGCACTCCCTCCCCCCCCCCCACCCCCGCCCCTCCTTTCGTGGGTTCTGTCAACACCTCAGCCCTTTGGGATTCATCCCCTCACTTCATATTCTCACTACTGAAACCTTCAGTTGGCAGACTAAACAAAGCCATTGTTCTTTTGAATGCTGGGTGAGTAAAGTTTTTCTCTCGAGGTCCTCCCCCCTCTTTGATGCGGAGGTATTCCTCAGCCGTTTGTGTTTCGCATATGAGGAGAAAGTCACTGTCCTGGGCAGTTGGTTTGGTTGAAATAAAGTAAATAAAAATCCTCTTTGGAGGGAAGGGAAAGAGTTAACAGTCAAGTGACCAAAGGAGCCCTTTTGGCTGAGCCTTTGACTGGACTTGGCAGCATCTGTCAGGAAGCGATTGTCTTTTTCATAGCTCTTAGCAGGGCAAGGTTTGCATTCCCACATGGGTCGTTAGTCTGGGTTTGTGCGGCTTTCGCTGCTTCTAGTTTTTAGCCAATGGGGCCATCTCTTTCAAAGCTTCTGGGATTTGGTTTCAAAATCTTTTAGATCTAGTGATTGTTTAGCCTCATCCTTTTTCCAGTGGCACCCAGTGGGAGTCCTGTGAAGGGCAAGACTGTGTCATGCTGATTAAGTGAGAAGCAACCTGTACTGGATATTTTAAATGGGGAGAATAAATTCTATAATCCATTTTTAAGGTTAAAAAAAGGTTCAACATCAATAGGTTGAAAACATGGTTTTATTTTGCTCATATAAGCTGAGTTAATCTTTTTTTTTTCCTGAGGAATTGGTATGTAAGGGAGATTTCGATTTAAATAAGTCATAGACATGTTATAACATTGTTGAAATGTTAGGAAATCATATAATACAATGAAATTACTGAAATAAGAAACCTCTGCCCTGACATTTCAATTGAAATGATATATGGTGTTCAAAATGGTTGGTCACATTTTAGAGAATGTTTAGAAATGCTATTCTATTCATACTGCCAATTATAGCTCTTTTTAGTAGACCTTGTTAAGAAATATTTGCTTGGGACTATTGTCTAAAGCAGAATAAAGACAATGTTCAGTTTTTTTTAAATGATAAATGCAGCTCCAAACTCATTCCACATTGGTGTAGAGCCATAGTGTATTAAGTCTAAGACTTTCTTCTTCCTTATTATTGTTTAACCTAGTAACTTGGGGAAAATGGGTATGCAGTTTACTTCTCAAAGGAAGCACTTATCATTAAGCAATATCTCCAAAATGCCATAACTTTTGGAGACACACTTTATTCTATTTCCAAATCTTTTGGGACACTCAGTCTGGAGCATTTTTTTGTTTGATTTTTTAAGGAAAAAGATGCATGTTTCCCACTGGGTGATAACTTTGGTAAATATTTACAGTGACTTTACGTGAATTCTCCTTGAACAGAACTTTTGATATAAGGCCTCTGAAACGTGGAAGGTCACTGCTATAGAGATTCACCTGTAATTTTATGGTTTTTCATCCTTTAGGTTTCATTCTGGGTAATTTTGAAGTCAGTAGAGTCAGAATGATTAGAGTGGGATTTTTATTAACTGGACTTGTAAGTGTTTTTACAGGGCATATGTAATTTGAATCTTGCATAGTACTTTTTGCAGTTCATAACATTATTTCACATTTGTTCTCTCTTTTTGATTTTCAGAGCAAAATTTTGAGATAGCCATGTCAGATGCTATCCCCATTTTACAAGAAAACCAAGACTCAGAAAGTCAAATGACTTACTTAAGGTCAAGTAGTTAGTTAGTAGAAGAGCTGGGACTACAGCCACATTTTCTAACCCTTTAATTGAGTGCTACTCTCTAGTATGTGGCCTTTGCTTGTTAAATATTCTATGACTTATTAAACAACAACAAAAATACTTCATCACTTACCAGTTCTTTCTCCCCAGGCCCACTTTAAAGGTACTATAGCTGAATTTCGTTGAAAGCTTGACTTTATGACTAATTGCTCAGGAATTTAGATGGTATTTTTCACCCATACCTAGATGTTAACAGTGAAAAGGGGGTTGGGGGGGTAGAAAAGGGTTATATTCTGTCCCTATTTATCCAGAAGAATAATCTTCTCAGTGAAAAGGATAAAACAAAGTTTTCATACCTTAGTTAAAAGGTAGTTAAAGCCTAGGATGAGTGAGGAGATAGTAAAAGAAGCACCTAAGGTCAACAAGCATTTATTAAATACCTTCTTATCACCTGTTTGGGATAAAGTATATCACATTAATCTGCAAGAGTAACCAGAAGTGATTGCTGAATCTTGGTCAGTATTTGAGGAATCCTGGAGGATTGGAGAGGTGCCCAATAGTGGAGATGTTCAAATATTTCCTGATTTTTTTAAGGAAGTGGGTGTATTCTATAAAATGCAAACTAATGGATTTAACATCTATCCATCCCCAACAAAGTTCCGGAACAAATTATCTGTTTAAGGTTTGTAGGCATTTAGTGATCACTAGAAAACTGCAAAGATTCATTAAGAACAAATAAATCTTGCCAGTTAACCTCATTTACTTTGTTGACAGGTTGGTATTTCTGATATGAATAGGGAAATGTATTAGACCTTCATTTAGCAAGACATTTGGCACAACTTTCTCTCAATTTTCTTGTGGATGGCACATAAAATGTTAATTGGATGGCTGTATATTTAGCTTGGTCCATAACTGACTGGCCAGACCAAAAAAGTATCAGTTATAGAATTAATACAAACCTAGATGGGGCATTTTCATGGCATGCCTAAGGTCTGTCTTTAGGTAAACTACAAATTCCATTTGTATCAACGACAAGGTAACATGCCTTTTAAACTTGGAGATGACATAACTTGGGAGGATTGGCTCATTTGCTGAAACACAGTTTCAGGATCTTCACTGTTCTCAAAGACCCATACCTAAAGCCTAATTTAAAATGAATTTATTCTAAGTAAAGGCTAGTACCTAGAGTGAAAAAGGCAAGTATAAGCAGGAAATATGTAACTAAATAGTAATTCATATAAAAAAGAGGGAATTTGATTTGACAGAAATTTGAATATAAGAATGAGGCCCTCTGAAAAGCTATTATAATTTTAGACTGCATTAATAAATATACCATCCAAATCAAGGCTATTACTTTCAGTAGTACCACTATAGTCTGAATTGGTCAGATTATATTGTAGTACTGAGTTATGGTTAGTGAACCATATTTTGAGAAGGACATCAACAAAGTGAAGTATAACCAGTATGGTGAGGGATATGGAAAAGATGCTGAATGAGAAACCAAAATGCAGAAACCTGGATGGCTTGGATAGAACATGGTAGCTATCTTCACATTCTTGAAGGGTTATTATGGGGTAGTGAGATTAGAATTCTCTGCATCATTCCAGAGGGCAGAACTAATGGATGGAAATTATAAAGAGGCAGATTTTAGCTCAATAGGAAGAATTTTGTAATAATTAAAGTTGTGTAGAAGTGGAATTGGTTATTGAGGGAGGTATTGAGTTCACAATCTTTGGAGATGTTTAAGTGGTGGCTAACACTTGATGGAACATTGATCATAAAATTCATGCTTAGATTAATGAGTTGGAAGGGACCATAAAGGTCACCTAGTCTAATCCTAAGATTCTATGACTCTAACCTGTTTTACTATTCAGAGTTTTATCCAGAGATTTTTAAATGTAAGTAAACTTGTTTATTCAAGGTTTGATTTTGGTCCTCAGTAATAGCCTGCTGGCATTATAGCAACACGTGATTTTGCTTTGTTAGCCATGTCAATTTGTGTGCTGTGGGAACTCTGTAAACATAAGGGATTATTATTTGTTAAGCAGTCCTGTAAATTTGGCAGGTAAAGGACTTTAGCTGGAAGTCACTTTTGCATTCAAATCAACAAATATTTGAGTGCTTCCTATGTGTAGGGCCCTTTAAGCAGGTTTCCTTGAACTTTATTGTACACAAAATCACATTGAATCCTTGTGGCAAAACTAAATGGAGCCTCATGTTTAACAAGGCCCATCATTGTGAGATTGAAAACCATCCTAATAACTTGTTACTAAGTAATTTTCATATTGGTTTCAAAAGGATGCTGTGTGCTAGCTTAAGTGTCAATTCCAAACCATAGCAGGTTTTCTAATCAAGAGAGTCATGAGAATGGGAAAACATTCGTAGTTGAAATAATATAATAAACACAAACACTGCTTTTTATGATGTCAAACTGACTCTGCTCTAAGATTTTTTTTATATTAATGTGGATGAGAGATGCAGTATGTCAAGGATGAGGGCTCTGTTTAAATGGATCAATTTGAAAAAGCCAGATTCTGTCTCGGAACCTGGAAGTTGAATTATCTCTTTGTTTAGTCATTGTGAACTGAAGGACAAATAGCTTAATTAAGATCTGAGTTGAGTAGAAGGAAAATGGCTAGGAAGGCCCAACCCAAACACCCCACAGGAGGGGGGGGGGTTCCCTAAGCACTTATTTCAAAGCAAATGATTCTATATTCTTTGAAAATTCCATATTGGTCATTTTGACCACATTGGATGACAAACAACAACATATGTCAGTGTTAGTCCTG